TTGGTTGTTTTTTGTGTGTTTTGTTTTTTGTGGTTTTTGTTTCGTTTGCTTTTTTGTTGGTTTGTGCTCGCTATCGGCAATTGGATAGCTTTATGGACTATGTAAAGGTCCACACCAGCTCTCTTTTGTGGCTTTTCATGCATATCAATTCAATTTCCGGCAAGTAAAAGCTTGTGTAACGACCTGGCGAAAGCCTCGGAGGCGTTGGACGGAAAAAAAAAACAACACTACCGGACTGAGGACCTTAACACAGCTGACACAAGTTGCCTGTCCAGAACCTCGTTTGAACACTTTGAGGATAGACCTGGTCCTTGGGCAGAGAAAAACGCTCGTATTCCCACACCAAGGTAACTCAGCCAGCTACCATGATCACCTGACCGCATTTAATGCAGTTGGTTTCAACACCTGCTAAGTTGACCGCTCGAGCTGCGCAACGCTTGCAAGCCTGCATCCATGTTGTTGAGCTCGCCCTTCGCGAACTCGATCGCATTGGATTCAATTTTGAAAGCGGTATACACCGCCAGAGTGCACTGCAACTCCCATTTATGGGTATAATCTCCCATATCACGAAGCTGCATTGCAAGAGCACTCGCATAGTGGTGCTACTCACAATACCGGTGCAATATGATGATTGGAAAAGCAGTACTGAGCGGACTCTGAGGGTACCTGAGGGCTGTTACCGCGCCGTCTTTTTCACCTTAGATCACGTTTCACCCTCCTTTTTCACGGCGGTAGCTTCTCACCACTTTGTTGTGGCCCGGCGTTGTCGGTGTTTGCTTCAAAGTGTCAGGGTGTAATGTCATGCCGTGAAGGCGCTCGTTGTGATCTCGGGGATCCTGGCTGGGGGGATCCCTGGTTTCCGCATTGAGCCTTGTTGCTTCCCGCACCCTTCAAGTGGCCCATGGTGATTTCGTCTTTTTTGTTTGTTGTTGTTTAATTTTATGGGCCTGTCAACATGACACACAAGTTGTCATCTGCATGCGCCGAGATGATTACAAGCTATCAACTCTCGCCTCAACAGATCTGTTTCACCCATAAACTGGAACCTGTCACGTCACGGCTTTGTGGCCTTGTGGTTGCTTTTCTTTTGTGTGTTTTTGTTTGCTTCTGGTTCTTTGTTTTTCGGTTTTTGTTCTCTGTTTTGTTCTCTGGAACGTGACGAAGCCTTTGGACTATGTATCGGTCCTCTTCCAGTTTACTTTTGCGGCCACTACAGCATCGGCCCCTGCGTAAATTCAATAATTAGTCTCATTTGCAACAGGCTTGGATAGCTGTTGAACGACCTGGCGGAAGCCACATGGCGTTGGACGGAAAAAAAGGTCTAAAGTGAAAATGACAGCAAGACTACGGCATTCAGGGCGCATTCAGTCCGGTCAGTGGTCCTTTTTCTGTCATCATCATCATGTAGCCGCGATTTGCAGAAAGTTCCATTGCGCTAGTGCTTTTGCAGGCAGTCTTCATGGTATGGGAGATTGTGCTCATCATCGGTGCGTGGTGATATCTGTGCATTGAGCTCTTCCGATGACGTGCTAGCTCTTTTAGCTGTATGATCCAGTAGCAGTATGGCTTTCTGCGCTCGAACGGCAACGGGTTCCATGGCTTGATGTCTTTGACATCATCCTACACTACCAGAAACCAACAAAACTTGGTGACAGCACCTATCAACACATGTCTAAACTACTGGAATTGCATGGGTTGACTGGCGCTGGGGCGTTCGAGGCGACCCGATGGCTCAAATGGTATGGCGTTGGTCTTGCCAGCGCTGACAGACTGCCGGTGGTGGTTCGAATCCCTGCTGGTCCACTCGGGAGTCTCAAGCGACCCGCCGAAAGGCAACGGGCGCGGACCACGAAAAAAGACTGGCGCTGGGGCGTTCGTGGCTGCTTGTGTCACTATGTGCGGGGGATGGGTTCCCGCCGGCCTCATCATTTGGCGACAAGGGGATGGCTTTGCTTGGCAAGCAGGATCTTGGTCATTTCGCGAGTGCTGCAGGGTCGTCCACTTGCGCCTTAGCTTCAGCCAGTAGCCTATCAAGGACAATGGCAATGAGTATTTCGCCGCCGTCTTTCTGGATCAGGCTGGTCGGCCGGTATGAAAGTACACCGGTTTGTGCCAAGCCATCGTACTGGATGCGTCGAGATGGTAGTGAATTCATCCACGAATTCACTTGGAAATGGACGGCTCTCATTGAATAGATTTGTTTTGGACAAGTGTCATCTACGGATAAACTATGATATGTGGTTTTCAACGTTTTCTGGAAGCTTGCATTCTGCATGAGGTTTTCGCCGAATATCAACAACGGTTGAGGATGTTTTTGTGCAAAACAACGTTTGCTGAAAACTGGTTTTTGGAGAGTTGCGAAATTTGATGTGGAGATGATGAAGATGGTTTTTGCCATTTGCATGGCAATTTGGAATGTCGTTTATTGTCTTCGCATGTGCATGCTCGACAACAAACTCCAAACCTTTTTCAACCTGGTTTTATTGCAACAACTTTGTGGACGAGAACTTTGTGGAGATGGTTTTGTGTTTTTTCACTGCATGCTGCATGTGAGCAACTGGAAACTGCGTTTTTGAGTGGTGCATGATGTTTTTCCACAACGTTTGCATGGCCGACTTTTTCATTTGAGACTGGGATGATTTTTCTGCTGAAATTTGATGCTCCAGCACGGTGCACGTCAACAAATAAGAGGAAAGGACAACAGCACGGTACAGCGGCTGACAGATAGCCGGACAGCTTACTTTGGTTGTTTCGTGTGCTGAGAAAAAGGTGAGAGCGAGGTCAAGTGAGAATTTGTGAGTTTGCGAGCGACGCAGCTAGTGGTTGTAAGCCTGAATTTTCGCATGGTAGCGGAGCTTCGGCTCACGCGTAGGACGCGAGTAAGATGATCCAGGGAGGAGGTAATTCAGGAGCTGAGATGCAACCACCAGGATTAGGAATGCCGATGCCACCAGGTTCGCCGACCAGGTTAGAAGCAGGTCAAGCGAATGGTGCTGAAACGACTTCGCCAACTGGTAATGTAAATGCAGGTGCCCCAGGTCAGGCAGAAGGAATTCTAGGCACGACAGCTGGGAACTTAGTTGGTGCCGGGACCTTAGTTGCTGGTCCACAGATGCTGCCGATGACGACTGGGTATGGTCCTGAAAGAAGACATGGAGGTCTTATGGATCCGAGAAACTACGTTTAACGTACTTGTTTCGTTTATGTTTTACAGGGTACTTTCAGATCTTTGTTTCCCTGAAACATTTTGGATCAAGCTGGACTTCAATCTTCTTTGCGTTTCTGTTTGATTGCGTTCTATACATTCATTAAAAAAACAACCTGTGACTTTTTCACAACAGCTGCGTTTAGTTTGGGCTTTTCACTTGACAGCATCTACCAGTGGGTCTCAGCATGTTGGGTTGCACTTTCATGGTATATGTCATTTATTTGTTGGTTTCACATCGCATTCACCTCCCGGGAACCGGGGCGTGCCATGCTGGCCCTGCGACATCGGGCCCCAAACTGGCTTGACATTTTTGCTTCTCCAATTCGTGCTGAACTTTGTACAATCATAGTTTCCTACCTGTACGATCAACGAGAGGATTTGATTTTGCCTCCGGATATTTGGAGACTTAGCTGGTGTTCTACACGGGTTTACAACTTCACTGTCAGATTTCGTGAAATTCAGACTCCATCAGTTGCGGATGGGAGCTCAGATGATTAGAGAAGACAGTTGGGACCTTATCCCAGATGTTCCTTCGACTCAGTTGTTGCAACCCACACCAAAATCATGTCCTTTGAGTAGACCCACTTTTGAGATTCGACCTAGACTTCCTGCGGTTATGCATGCTTCTGCAAGGAATCCGGCATGTGATAACAGGTTTCACCTTTCAGGACCTCGACTGACGGTGGCAGGGATCTCAGCAGCAGCTCCGGCAGCAGTACCAGGGTATGAACCCGTACGGAGTAACTTGTCTCACCATGTTTCACATGTTGCATGTCCTTATGAAAGGGTAGTTCGTACTGAATACCATCCAGTTAGCTTACAAATGCGTTCCAGCTCGAGTTCACAGTCACCGTCAGGTTTGGACAGAATCTCAATGCCAGACTTGTGCCCAAGCACAGCTGCAGCTTTACCATGCCCTCCTATCAACAAAGGGACTAGGGATAAGGTGGACAAGCCCTACCCCTCCGTGCGGCCCTCAACAGCGATCCAGTTGACTCGCTCCAAGTTGACGAGTGACAACCCCTTTTTGGTTGCACAATTTGCGGAGTTATTGGCATTTTTTGGCAACTCATCAGAGGTACATCGCTCATTGGTTTCTTCACCATTTGCTGATGAACATCGCAAGAGATTGTTAAATAACTATGCTGCTACCACTGTTTTTCGCTACTTGCAAGCAGTGCAGAAGTTTGTACGCGTGACGACACAGTTGGGTATGGACATTCATGCATTGTCGGAATCCCAGTTGGCCGATGTTTTGACAGTGATGCAACAATCCAGGTCATGTGACACGGATCGGGATGTCAGTTCCGGCAATTTTACCATCAAAGCACTGCGGTGGTGGTACAAAATTGCTGGTGTCACCAACTTTCAAATTTGTTTTTCCCCGCTGGTCGACAGCTTCCTGAAGACCAAGTTGAGCAAGGATAAGAGGGAAGCACCCCCGCTTCCTCTTTGGCTTCTTTTTCAATGGGAGCGTCGGGTCCTTCAGAGTGCTGCAACAGTTTATGAAACAATGATGTTGGGTGCATTCCTTCTTATCACATGGGCAGGCCTTCGTTTTGCTGACGCACAGAGGTTGAATGTTGACTCCCTGGTATTTAATTTTCAGGAACTACGTGGATTGGTCTGGAGATCCAAGACGATGGCAGCAGGCCACCCCTTTGGGGTACAAACAGCAGGCCTATGCAGTACAGGGACATTCACCTGGCTTTTCAAATTTTTGCAAACATGGGACCAGCTCATGAGGGACCTTCAAATTCCACGTTCACAATGTGATTTTTTGATTCCTGCCATGCAACCGGATGGCACCATCTCAGAGTTTGAACCATTGGACTATGCGGGAACAACCAAAATTTTCAGAGCGATGTTGATGACCCCATGGAAGCGCTTTCAAGGGGACCATCCATTAGAGCGACTTCAGATGACTTACACACTTCATTCCATGAAAGCCACGCTTTTGAGCTTTGGACCACAGTTGGGCACTTTGGTCAGTGACTCAGATCGTCTTTTACAAGGACATCACCAGGATCAGAAACAATCTTTAAATCTGTATGGTCGCGATAGCGTTTGGGGTTCTCTCCGTTATCAACAGACCGTCACATCACAGATTCAACAAGGATGGAGGCCTAAAACTGCACAACATAGAGGGGGACAGTTTCCTCTTGTGGAGCCAACGGTTGTCTTAGAGCGCTACAAAAAAGCGGCACCTGACTACCGGTTTGAATGGCTTCCATTTCATCACCATGAGGAACCCCAGGAACTTCCACCGGCTCACGAGGTGGTATCTGAAGAATCCGATACGGACTCCAGCGGCAGTGACAGTGACACTGACAGCAAAGGTTCCGAACATGCTTTGTCAGTTCAGGAGATGAACCCCAAGAAGCAGGAACCAATACAAGCGGATGAAGCTGTGTTTGCTCGCCATCGACGGGTCACCCATGCTATGGTGATTATGGATGACGGCAACGATTCCAGACCTTGTTTCATGGGGCATTTGTGGAAGGCGTCCTGTGGCGCGCGTATGAGACATTTGGAAACTGAATTTTTGGATGAATGGCACCCTTCCATGGCATTTTGCCAACATGCAGGTTGTAAGAGGGTGTGGGCAGCCATAAATTTGCAGTGACTGGAATTCGCACCACAAAAAGGAAAAAGCGTTCAGAGCTGCATTCTCAATGTTGAGAAATAACAGTCAAGAAGTCGTTTCATGCCCCTGCAGCAGGGGTTCCTTTGGCAGCGTTCAACAAACCTGATGTGCATGACATCACAATCGCATTTTTTTTCTCACTTCCTCCACAGTTGTGTGCTTGCATCATGGCTCAATATATGCTCTTTTCCGCAGCCATTTAAAAAAAAAATTGTAAAAAAAAAACAAGAACATAACGGTGACAAAAAGATCAAAGGTATCCCCATGACCATGTGGACAAGGAATGACCCATTTACTTCAAGTCCGGCACTCAGCTCGTTCCGCAGTTCAGATAGGTCATTTGCGTGTGTTTTTTCCATGGGCCAAATTTTTTATCACTCCACAGATTTGCACAACATCAAGACAGGCGTCAATTTCACGCACTAATCCTCATCTCCTGATGAGAATATTCAGCGTCCTTTTTTCCTTTGTTTAGGAAATTGCGTCATGACTACAAAGTCATTAGAGGATGCCATGTCGGCATGTGGCGTTGAACCAGTCATTGCATCACAGCTGGTGCAAATGGGCTGGACAGTCCAAACATTTGCGTGTGCTGCAGTGAATTTAGAAGCGTTTGATCGCCTGTGGCCTGAGTTTTTTCCAGAGGAAGAACCTTCACTGCTGCAGAAAGCTTCCCTGAGGGCGGCGTTCAAGATGTGTCAAGAAATGACACAACCTGCATTAACCAATAACCAGGCTGCACCTGCCTCAACGGCTTCGGATCCTATGGCGAATCCTGGAACTTGGGCGGAGAGTTTTCCACCGAAGTTAGATGCAACAGTGATTGATCAGATGAAAACCAAATTTTTGGCCAGTTACCCTTCAGAGTTGGTCAATCATGATACTATGCCAAGCACGAGACTGCTTAGCCTGGTGCACCATCAATTGGGCAAGAAACAATGGGCATGGATCCCCTGGAAATATAGACTGACCATGGCGAAATCCGAAGAAGTCACCTCCCAGCGACAGACCAAGATGCCAAAATTGGAAGTGGCCTCCTTACATCATTTGTTGGTGGATGAACCCCCAGCCATTGATATATCAAACACAGGATTTGGAGTTAATGCAGTCCGAAATCTGTTGGCCGTTCATGACATGGCAGTGGCAATGTGCGGTGGAGCCCATTTGGCCAACCTCAAGGCCTACTCAGCAAAATTTCTCGGCTTCCTGACCCAGAAGGTGGACCCAGAGAGCATGTTGCGTTGTGCATCCATTACAGAAGCGCAGTCAGCGGATCGCCAAATCTGGGCTGCAATTGCAGATTTAATGTCAGAGCGTGGATGGGATATGGATAATTGCCTACATGAGTTCACCCACATTCGTCATGACTTGCCAGGACTTTTGCAATTGAGGCCACGTCCAATGAAGATCCCTTCGGCCCCGTCACAGCCTAGTTTTTCAAGTACATCCAAGAGCAAGGGCAAAGGCAAACCCTCCAAGGGTAAAGGAAAATCGAAAGGCAAAGGCAAGGTTCAATGGTTGACGGATGCAAAAACCAAGGAAGGTCAGTGGAAACAGTTGTGCATGAGGTATCAAACAGGGAATTGCTCTTTAGGCGATTCCTGCCGTTTTCATCATGCTTGCGCATACCCAGTGAATGGACAGGCATGCGGCTTGGAGCATGGAGCATTGCAGCATCAGAATACAACTCACTGACTAGAGCAATCAGAAGCAGGAACTTCAGGTTCAGCGGCCTCAATCAGTGCCGTGGCTGTGGCAGTAGCTCCCGACATTCCTCCTAAGGAAGGAGGCTACAGAGGTCGAAATGACCCAGGGAGAGCCGGAGGTTCCATCGGTTTCACCAACATTACTTTCACCTTCATTACCTAACTTCAATCAGGGGGACTCCAAGTTGTTCCTGGATATATGTTCCGGTGCCACCAGACCTTTGAGTTCAGCCATTTTGGCACAGCATGGGAATGTATTGTCCTTTGATATCCTTTTAGATCAGCGGATGGATCTACTGAATGATGGGAGTTACGAACAACTCTTGCGCATCTGTTCATCAGGTCAGGTTGCCTATGGTGCGGCATCTCCTTCTTGTGCCCATTATTCCCGGTTAAAGTTACACCGGCCAGGACCCAAGGCATTGCGTACACCAGAATTTTTGGATGGCGTCCCAGGGAGCCATCAGTCCTTGGTCGGAACCCGATCAGAAACGGGGGAATACTTAAGTCGCCAGACTGCATGCTACCCAGAGGCATTGGCAACGAGATTTGCATCTCTGGTTACACCGTTGGTTCACCAGACATCCCATGATTGGAAGTGGGATGACATTCAGTTTATTCCACCTAAGAAGGAACCACTGCAACCGCCTTTTGGACAGGCGGATGGCGGTGGCTTGCCGTCTAATCCTGATTGGAGCATGGGAGAACGTTCGGCCCCTGATGTTTTTGGCCCTTTGCGGAAACAGTGGATGCGACGAATCATTGATCAACGATTGGATAAAGATCTGTTGCAATATTTTTCTCAGGAGGTGCATGCGCATCCGCCATTTTCAGATGCGGTCTTGGCTCCCTTCAAGCAAGATTTGGATAATTTTTTGCGAGACTCGGGCTTTTCACCTGACTGGCAGGTTCGGCCCCACCAACCAATGTGTTTGGAAATTTTACAATGTCTCAATCAATTGATGCGCGATCCTGACCAATCTCTTTTTCCATCACTCATTGCAGGCGTGGGCACTGGATTTCAACATGATATTGCGCCAAGCAATTGCTTTCCTATGAGTGATCCTACTGACGTTGCCGAGCCACCGCTCTCCGCTCACCATGTTAACTGGCAGAGCGCAGAAGATGACATTGCGCTCACCCAAAGTCTCGTGCAACAGGAGATAGCGAACGGTTGGGTTTTTGAATTTGATGGATCATTACAGGATGATGCACAACAACAATTTCCATTGGGCGTTGCCTTAGGCAAATTAGGCATTGCACACTCGGAAGGCAGAGCACCACGCCTGGTCCTTGACCAGACCATCTGCGGCCTTAACGGCCGGTGCCATATACCTGAGCGGAGCACATTGCCTTCCATCAAGGACGTGTTGCGCACATTCCCAATTCGGAATTTTTCTGGCGACCATATGGGATTTTCGTTAGACATTAAGTCAGCCCACAAGAGAATATTCGTTCGAGAAGAAGAACATGGACTTCTAGGCTTTACTGTGCAGGGCAAGTTGTACTTTTATAGAGTCGCTCCGTTCGGAGCCACCTTCTCGGCAGCATGGTGGTCTAGACTTGGGGGCTGGATGCTCAGGCTCTTCCACTTTATTGTTTGGTGGTCACACGTTGCCTTGTTATACGTTGATGACTTCTTGTTCTTCCAATCATTATTCAGCATGCCACTCTCGGCTACAATGATCTGTATCCTGAGTCAGATTACAAACATCCCTGTGTCTTGGCAAAAATGCGAGTTGGCATTCAGCATACAATGGATTGGATGGAAAATTCACTTGCGGTCAGGGTTTGTCGAAATCCCGGTCACTAAAATCAAGAAATTCCAAGATTATTTGCGATCAGTGGGGCGGAGCTCCCGTACTTCCAAGCGCAATTTGGAGAAGTTGATCGGCCTGGCCCTTTGGTTAACTCAACTTTGGCCATACATGCGAATTTGGATTCGACATTGGTACCATGATTTGTATTCAATTCCTGCTACACATTACAGTATTGACAATGGTGATTGGCGAGCTTTTTCATCTTATTTAGATGACAATTTGAATTTCACCTCTCGTCCATCTGGGACGGCCTTGCCAATTGGTGGACAACTCCTGGCGGTGCGTCATCAAACTGTTCAAACCAAGAATGATCTGGCCAAAGTACATGTATCCAATAAACGAATTTGGCTTCGCATCAGAGACCCAGCTTCCACAAAACGCAAACTTTCACCTTCGAGCTTGCGTATTGTTCAACAATTTATGTTATGGCTTTCAGGCTTATCCCCTATGAAACCTTTGACACCCAAGACATACTGGCCTGGGATTGCTGCGGCAGACGCATGTGCCGCTGGTGACACATGTGAAATTGGGGGATTTGTCAAATCCGACTCCGGCAAAGTGTACTGGTTTTCAGAAATTTATTCACATTCAGATTTTGCAAACTTGAACATTGAGTTGGAATCCGAAATGCAAAGATCCATTTCCTCTTTCGAGACCTTAGCTCAAATCGCCTTACTGTTCGTGACAGCTCAATTTTTTCCAGCTCATCGCATGCCAATTTGTTTAAAAAGTTTGAGTGACAACAGTGGAGCGGAATCCGGAAGCAATAAACTTTGGAGCATGACCTATCCCCTTGCCATTTTCCTGGAACGTATGTGCCTGATGTCAGCCATCTTAGGAATCGAGATTGACGTGAGCCACATTCCAGGCTCACAAAATATCTTGGCAGACGACCTCAGCAGGTGGGACCAATCCGGAAGCCCACCACATGATTTCCGATTGACAGATCGCATCCGTATCTCCCTTTCAGACTTATGGAACATCCGCAGATCACCAACATTAGTTCCAGCGCAAGCCACCATTCCTTGGACATTGCCTAGCTGGTAGCCTCCCGATTTTCGCTTGCTGGAATTCCCCTCACTTTTCAATTGGGGTTTGTGGTTGGCGAGTTGAATTCCCAGATAGTTAAATTAGGGGTTTTGATATCCATCTGAAAATTCAACCAAAGAAATGTATTGGTTGTGAACCTGGAGATCAAATTATATCCAGCAAGCGAAAAAAGGGAAATGAATATAAAGCCCGAGTGCCTTTGCAGTTCATTAGAACTTCAACTCGTTTGGAAGCTGAGATTTATTTATACTGTTTTGTAATCATATATATTTAAGTAAACATATATATATATAATTAATTCATAAGAAGATTGAAGTCCATGTAGAATGTTTAACGTACTTGTTTCGTTTATGTTTTACAGGGTACTTTCAGATCTTTGTTTCCCTGAAACATTTTGGATCAAGCTGGACTTCAATCTTCTTTGCGTTTCTGTTTGATTGCGTTCTATACATTCATTAAAAAACCCACCCATCCCACTCCTTATTCTTTTATCCATCTTGTTGTATTTGTTTTGGGATTGGAGAATTACGATTCTCCACAGCTTCCGTGTTTCGAAACTTTGTTACCTTAGGAAAATCCTGAGGCCAAATTCAAGGACCGTATCCATTGAGATCTCCTTCGTTTTTATCAGCATCCGTTCTCCAACCGGAGATGCCAGCATTCGTCCGCCCTGATTGGAAATATTCACTCATCCTCAATATCGAGGAATATTGGCCACCGTAGGTGCCATCCTTTTGCAGCCGTTGCAGCACGTTTCACCAATTTCCGTTTGCATTCACCATGCGTTATTTGCGACAATCACTTCCTTTTCCCAAGGATCAGGAGTTAACACGGTGGATATCTAACCCCCCCCCCAAAAAAAATCAACAACAACATACTTTCAGTTGGTTTTTCATTTGTTACCCAATGATTTGTGCGTTGTTATGCGGGGGTTTTGATATCCATCTGAAAATTCAACCAAAGAAATGTATTGGTTGTGAACCTGGAGATCAAATTATATCCAGCAAGCGCAAAAAGGGAAATGAATATAAAGCCCGAGTGCCTTTGCAGTTCATTAGAACTTCAACTCGTTTGGAAGCTGAGATTTATTTATACTGTTTTGTAATCATATATATTTAAGTAAATATATATATATAATTAATTCATAAGAAGATTGAAGTCCATGTAGAACGGAATGTATGGCCAAAGTAGCCCAAGAAACAATAGCTTGAATGGACAAAGTTTCCAAGGTTTGACAGGTTGCACAGGTTGTGGGTTTCAACAAGGTGCATGTCAAGTTTTTAGTGGATGCACGGGCTGTGGAGTTCAGCAGGGTGCATGCCACGGTTTTGAACAAGGATGTCAAGGATTTCAAGGTTGCACAGGCTGTGGAGTTCAGCAAGGTGCATGTTAGGAACTGCATGTTCAGGTCAAGGCTGTGGTCAAGGAATGCCATGTGTTTCAGGTCAAGGACAGAACTTGAGTCAAGGTCTAGGTCAGGTAGGACTGGAACGACAAAGACTGACAGGTTGTCAAGGACCGAATGTTGGCGGTGTAACACCACAGAATGAACGAATGCAGGAAATCCTTAGGATGACGCAAGGTTTGGACCCCATGCAAGTGCTGAGGTTGAGACAAGCATTGGGAGAGCAAGTGAACCCAGTGAGGGGTGTGCCTGAGTTGTTTGGTCAAAGGGATGGTATGTTCCCAAATGGATATAATCCAATGCACGTAGGAACCAATGGGGATAGCACGTTAGACGTTTTTGCACGCTCAGAAAAATGGATAGGTAATCCACCGACACCCGAGACAGCGAAATGGAGTAACAGAGAGCTCGAGATCTTGGGCTGGTCAACCTACATTGGGGATTTGGTAGCGTGGTCGATGCAAGCATCCCTGGAGTTTGGTTCAGAGATAGAACAGGCGTGCAGGTGGCCGACAGCTCTGCAATGGCAAGAATTATATAAGTCCTGCACAGAGAGCTAGAAGCAGGAGACTGATGGCAATTCTGAAGGCTGCTTTCAATGGACACCCTCGAACGGTTACTCTAATTAATGCCTACTCAGAAGGGGTCAACCTGTTGAGTTCAGATGTTGGAGTAAACCCTGATTTGCAGAGTTCAAATGGGTTTGAATTGATAAGACAACTCACCATGGAATACAGCTTGAGAACCCGCAGTGAAGCATTGAGCTTTCGCACGGCCCTTGCGCATAAGAGTTTCAGTTTGCATGCCAGTGAGACAAGCCCAAGCACTTTTGTGACGGACACCATCCGGAAGATTGACTATGAGAATGCACGCTATGGCAAGCTCTTGGGTACTCTTGCAAGTTCAATTGATGCCACTGGGCTGCAAGTTGCAGAGGCAGACTTAGTTGCGGTGTTGTTGAGGTCACTGCCTGAAAGTGTCAGAACGTTTTGTCTGCATCATACCAGTGGGGAAACGTACCAGAGTTTTAGGGCTGCAGCGTTGAGATGGGAACAGCAACAAAGGGCTTTTGCGGAATTCCAACCCAAGAAACAGTTGTACCAGCTAGGGAATGAGTCTGAGAGTGCAGCGGAGTACTATGACATGACAACTAGCGATGGTAATGGGGATTGGAATTTGGATGCAGTAGGAAACTCAGGGCATAGGTGCACGAAATGCGGGAGTAGGAAGCATGGTGCAAGCATGTGTGATGCTGATTTGACAAAAGTGCGTTGTTTCAAGTGCCAGAAATTTGGTCACATCTCGGCCAACTGCCCAGACAAGAGTGTAAAGGGCAAGGGCGACGGGAAAGGGGTGATCAAAGGCAAAGGAAAGACAAAAGGAAAGAGCAAAGGCAAGGCAAAAGGTAAAGGTTTTGGAAAGAAAGGAAAAATGAATGAACTCGGTTATGCAGAGGAAACCGATGGTATGGATGAATGGTATCAAGATGATGGGTCATGGTGGAATGACCAAACGTGGCTGCAAGCGTCACAGGTGTGGAATGAAACCTGGAGTGACTGGAATGAGGGTTGGACAGCTGACTGGACTGACGGACAATGGACAGAGGATTGGACCTGGACTGGTCAAGAATCCCAGCAAGAATATGCAAGCAGTAGTCAGCGACCCGAGAACAGTGAAATTCAGTCATTGGTTTTGAGCCCCTTGATTGGAAGAATTTTTGGGGAAATTTCCACCGGTTTAGTTTTGCAAGAAGCAATGGATGAGCTTGGCAGCAGTAACAGTCA